ATTTAGCTTGAAGGTCACAGTTCTGTTTTGTGGTGGGAAGGTGACACCAAAGTGGCCGGTAGCTTCAGAAGTCCCCGGTTGAGGTGACCCAGGGACTTGGCACCAGGGACCAGTTTCCGGAACTTCTGTGTGAAAGCACCTCATGATTCTCCCCTTAAGCTTACCGTGTGTCTGACAGGAGGAGACCCTCAGACTCGCGGTCTGGGAGCTGACAGGGTTGGAGGCCGTGCAGGAATAGAGCTCCTCTCCAGCCGTGGGAGTCACCACCAGGGTCTCCTTCCCCTCCGTATCAGGGATCTTCTTACGGTCCTTAGCCCAGGAGAGCTCCACCACGCTGCCTTTCACCGTGCAGCTCAGAGTCACGGTACAGGTGCTGTTGTCTGGGCTGTAGCTCACCCGCGAGTTCATCTCCACGGACACGATTCTGTCTGTTCACACCACCAACAGAGACATGAACAGATTCTCCAAGCATCATGCCACAATCGCTAATGTACCAGCCCTGTTTTCATTGTTCATAGATATATTAATATACAGTATATTCAGCTAGCAAACCTATCCCTGCTCATAGACACACACAGGACAGTTAGATGTGGGATTATGTGACATTTTCTTACCATAAACATTAAGTTTTATCACATGTTTCTCCTGTGGCGATAGTGGTGGGAGGGATTCAAAGGTATATTCTCCGCTGTCATTTTTTATCAGAGGGTTGATGGTTAGAGATCCGTGTTTCTCACTCAGGGTGAGTCTCCCTTCATAGGCTTGGTTATAAATAGTTATACTTCCGTTAAACCTTTGCATGATAATAATGTCACTCTTCACCCACTGCAGATTTGTTACCCGGATCGAGTCATTTGTCCCTGACAGAACAGCTGATTCCCCAACAGCACCATTCACGACTCGCCAACACTGTCCAGTGGGCAACTTCAGGAACACTTCAGAAAAAAAGCAGCCATTATGACATAGTAGAAACTGGAACATAACTTACAGGTAAAGCAAAGCTGACTAAACAGTAGAAATTTTATTATACATCCCCTTAAAGGAAGCTACATTCACACTTAAAAAATGGATGAAAAAAAACTTAAGCATTTTATAATGGTTTAAATATTCAATGCATGAAGCACCAAACAGCCTGAAGTGAACAGAAAAAAATCTGTACGTGTAATAATATAGACATAAGCATGGACCCAAAATATCACTTCAGGATTTTCCACAAGAGCCCTAAACACCATTATGAACAACATAAATATCACCTCAGCTTAGTCATACATCTTGGTGAAATTTACTTTTTTTAACACTGTAAACATCTCTGTGCTAAGAGTGAAAAGAGATGAAATTGAAAAGGAGGAAGACTTACCCAATGATAACGTCGATATCAAGAGAGAACGACGAAGGAAACAGCGGACAAGTAAGGAGGACATTTTGCACACAACACAAAGGTCGTTTCCTTATAAGGACTAGACATTGACTCTTTCCACCACTGTGATCTTGTTCTCTGTGAGTTAGGTTGTCTGTTTGCTGCAGTGAGGTGTTTGGACAGGATGTGGTGTTGACACTTCAGCCATCTAGCTCTTCTTAAACTATATCAATGTACAGTGAAAATACAGCTGAATATTTAAAAGACAACAAAGATGGATTTGAATTACATGCAATTAAACCAAGAGCCTATTTTTCTTGTTTGATCAGAGCTGTACTTCAGCAAATTTAACTCAAACTAAAACTATTAAAATGTCCCTCCCTGGGTAGGGCTGTTTTTTCTTTTCTCAGACTGAAACCGGGTTGGAATGAATATGCACGTATACAATAATAATAATAATAAATTTAATTTATAATGCACTTTACATTTTACAAAGAAGATCTCAAAGTGCATACAGACAGTGAGAGAATATCACAATAAAAACAACAGTAAAAGAGGAAAAAAAAAAAAAAACATTTAGTTAAGTAGTCATTAAAAACATTGGTTAAAAAGAGATGTTTTCAGGTTTTTTTTAAAACATGTAACAGTCTGTGGAGCCCTCAGATGTAGAGGAAGGGCGTTCCACAGCCGTGGGGCAGCACTGGAAAAGGCCCTATCTCCAGTGTTACGGGAACGAGTCCTGGGAGGGAGGAGAAGGTGTGTGTTGGTGGAGCGGAGAGTGCGTGGGTGACAGTGCGGAGTGAGGAGTTCTGTTAAATATACAGGCGCATCACCATGCAGACATTGGAAGGTAAGCAAGGAAATTTTGTAGGTGATCCGTGCAGTAACGGGAAGCCAGTGAAGGGACCGGAGCACGGGAGTGATGTGCTCATGTTTCCTTACTCTCATCAGGACCCTGGCAGCGCAGTTCTGAACATACTGAAGTTTTTGTATGTTTTTTCCAGGAATCCCGATGAGAAGCGCATTACAATAGTCCAGTCTGGAGGAGATAAAGGCATGCACCAGTTTTTCTGCATCAGAAAGGGAGAGTGTAGGCCGGAGTTTAGCAATATTTCTAAGATGGAAAAAGGAGATTTTGCAAATGTGCTTGATATGGTTTTCAAAAGTAAGTTGAGGGTCAAAAATAACACCAAGATTGGTGACTGTTTTCGAAAGAGAGATGTTCTGACCGGAGAAAGAGATAGTGACGATTTTTTGGTGTTGAATTTGGTGTGGAGTGCCAATTTGAATCACTTCAGTTTTTGAGCTGTTAAGATGAAAGAAATTTTGCTCCATCCATGCCTTTATCTTATCCAGACAGGCGGTGAGTGTGGGTGGAGTGAAGGGCGTAGATATCGAAGGGGCTGATGAAGTGAAAGGGGCCTCAGACGCATTGCTACCCAGCTTCAAGTAGAGCTGAGTATCATCGGCGTAGCAGTGGAATGAGACCCTGCAGCTGGTAATGATGCGCCCAAGTGGAGCCATGTACAGATTAAAAAGAATGGGCCCCAATACTGATCCCTGAGGAACACCACAAATGACAGGATGGCTCAATGATTTAGCATGTCCAATGGAGACAAACTCAGATCTGCCCGTAAGGTATGACTTAAACCAACCCAGGGCAACGCCGGTGAACCCTGCAAGGTATCGTAAACGGTGGAGGAGAATGTCATGATCAACTGTATCGAAGGCTGCTTACAGATCTAGAAGGACGAAGAGAGAGGAGGAGCCACGGTCTGCAGTGATCAATAGGTCATTTGTGACCCGGATCAAAGCTGTTTCGGGTGCTGTGTGCCGAGTGGAAGCCAGATTGAAATTTGTCCAAAATTTTGTTGTCGTGTAGATGTCTTTGAAGATGAACTGAGACCACTTTTTCCCAGAACTTTCGAAAGGAAGGGGAGATTGGAAATGGGTCTGTAATTTGCCAGGTCTTGAGGGTCCAGGTTAGGCTTTTTAAGGTGGGGTTTGATTATGGCTGATTTCAGAGTGGAGGGAACATAACCTGACTGGAGGGACTGGTTGATGATGGTAGTAATTAGGAGGCCGAGGGAGGCCATATTTGCCTTCACTAGGACTGTTGGGAAGGGGTCAAGGGCGCATGTAGAGGGTTTCATAGCCCTAACAGCGGCCTCAACCTCCTTCACACAGACCTGAGGAAAAGACCAGAAGAGGGAAGGGTTCCCTAGAGGTGTGTCGACACCAGTAGTGTGAGCAGAGAGGGGAGTTGCAAGTGAAGAGCGGATTCTTAGGATCTTATTTTGAAAGAAGGCGATGAATTTATTGCAGAGGTCATTAGTAGGTTCGGTGAGTGATGGTGTTCGAGGCTGGAGGAGGTTGGTGATGGTGCAAAAAAGAGTCTTAGAGTTACCCGGGTTATCGGAGATGATGGATGAGTAAAAACGTGATCGGGCATTTTTGAGAGCGCTTGCATATGATTTGCGGTGTTCCTGGTAAGCTAGCTTGTGGACTAGCAGACCCGAGGCTAAGAAGCGTCTCTCAAGCGCTCTACCAGCTGCCTTTAGTTTCCTTAGCTCTGGTGTAAACCATGGAGCTGAGCGCAAAAAGGCAACTGTCCTTGTTTTAGCGGGAGCGTGGCGGTTCAGAATGGTGGAGAGGGTGGAGTTGTAGAAATCTACTGAATTGGTGGAGATTGATAGAGAAACAGGAATGTGGTCATTAAGATCAGCTGAAAGAAGTTCAGGGTTAATGACTTTTAGATTTCGAAAGGAAATCTGCCGCTTTGGCTTCATGAGAGAACTTTGAAAGGGTAACTCCATATAAATGGCTTTGTGGTCTGACACACCCAGGTCATATACGGAAAGATGATGCACAGGTAGAGAGTTCGTGATGACTAAGTCCAAGGTGTGTCCTCTAGAGTGTGTTGGAGATTTGACATGTTGTTTCAAGTCCAAGTAGTCCAGCAGTTGGAGGAATTCAGCAGTTTGATGATTTGTGGGAATATCAACATGAATATTGAGATCACCCAGTATGAGCAGATTGGATGAAGTGGTGCAGAATGATGACAAGGTCTCCGATATCTCTGAGAGAAAGGAGGGACAGTATTTAGGGGGCCTGTAAATAAGAAGTACTGTCATTGAGTGCGGTGGCTTGGAAGAGAAGGCCAAGCATTCAAAGGAAGACAGCACAGGCAAAGGCGCAGGACAAAGGCCCAAATGACCTTTAAAAATGACGGCTAAGCCACCGCCGCGACCCGAGCTTCGTGCTCTTTGAAGGTAATTATATCCAGGTGGACAGGCCTCATTGAGGGCAGAGAAACTATTAGGCTGATGCCAGGTCTCTGTGAGGCAGATTATATCCAAATCCTTGACATGCTTTGTTACTCAAGGATTGAACGTTAAGTAGTCCAACTTTAAAAGGAGGCGCCGCCATATGCCTTTTAAAAGTCCTGAGAAGATTAAAATCCACTCCACGTTTTACTTCCCGCATCCGAATAGCCACAGGAGTCACTGCAGTGATATCCGGACTACAAATCCCAGAAGCCGCAGTGTTCTGATGACGTAATCGCCGTACGCCAGAACATCCAGCTGACCAGATAACCGGCATGGAGAGTCCTGTCCGATGGAGAATAAACTTTCTTCGGCAACTTCTGTGGACATACGGACGTCGGCGAAGGAGACCCAGCCGCTTGATGGTGAGGATGTCCAGATGATCCACAGCGACGTTGCTGTTGTTAAGGCTCAGGAGGTCCGCTGCCGAGTAGGTAAGCATCGCGCTAGCCGAGGGCGAAGGCACGATAATTCCCAATTAAAAGTCCAGGGGACTAGAGCATTAAATGCTAATAAAGTTACTAAACTCGATCTTTTACTATCTTTACTATTTACTCTTTTACTGTTTTTGGCGAAGAAGCGGCGAACACACAACGCCAGCGTCCTCTCCCCCAGCGTCACACAGAGCCAAGAGAGCCAAGAGAGGGTTACAGTTTAGACTGTAACCCTCAGCTGGTTAGGCTAGTTTGCGAAATGGACAGAATGATGAACGCGTGTCTTTGTGTAAATGGCTTTCAAGTCTGGGCACTTTACTCCAGCGACTTTGTGTTTTCCAGACTGACTGCATCTACTTGCAGATGGTGATGGGGTTATTATTAGGAACTTTCCTGCATGGTTGTGTCCAAAACGGTGGTACTAACCTGTTTGCAGAATTTCTGAGAGCACGGACATGTCTTTTTCATGTTTCAAATAGGCAGTCTGTCTATTTTTATTAAAGCCTTTTGTCTGTTGAAAAGAATTTTGCAGTTTAAAAAGCGCCTGTTCTCAATAAATGTGTCATTCAAAAATGCGTATTACACCTTGTGAGTGTACTTGCATTTAGGTTATACTATGCTTCTTTACTCTAAAATCAATTGTGCATTTTCTGAAATAAAGGTTCAATTAAAGTACTATTATAACATCTTCAGATTTCATTTGATATTTGTCTTAATGAACCACACTGTAGTAATACTGAGGGTACTAGGAGTGGTCTTTGGTGCTACCTAATTTTTTAGTTCTGCCTTGCATTCTTCCTCTGCCACTTCAACGTTGCTTTCTTCATGCAAATAGGACCTGAAGGGGGTAGTTTCAACCCCAGGGTCTTTTTTATTCACTCATTTCAGCAATTAATAGACTATTGTCGCTATTGCATCACAACGCTGTGGCAGAATCACTCTAGTTACACTAGTACTGGTGTCCCATTTAGGGTGTCCCCTGCCTATACAACCTAGGAGAGATCCAAAACCCTTCTTTGGGGGGGGACAAAAAGGTTAGGGGAATGAGACTCCAACCCCTTTGCCCAACAAAATTAATGAAATATAAAAAAAACTGTGATACCAGTGGCCAAAAACGTAATTAGGTACATTTTAAATAAGAAATAATAATACATTAATTTATTATATCATAAACATTCCCTATAGGTCTTATGAGTTTCACGATAATTGATTATGAACTACCTCAACTGAACATGACGATCTGGTAACTTGTTGCTTGCCGAGATTTGGGAGTAGTGATGACCAAAACAATGCTTGGTTAACCATTTGCTGTATTTTCTGACCCCACTAGATGGT